GCAGTGTGAACGAAATCACGTACAATGCTCACTCGGTTGACCACGACGGGCAAGTGACAAGTTTCCCCGATGACTGCATTCAACGAGAAATAAGATCCCTGCAGAAAAACTCATCCCAAATGTTGGTACCGACACACTGGCTGCGGGATCGCTTTTGAGGGAAAGTGAAGTCCTACCTTGATTTACGACTTTGGCTTATGCCGTGCAAAAACGCGGTGAAGGCTGTGGTTTTCGGGAAGAGCATTCTTTTTGGGCCTTAATTTCTATAAACCTACCTTACTTTCAAGTACATTTCTGTTTTTACTAGGATGCCGGTGCGTCACATCAGTTCCAGTGTCGGTTGGATTCGTTGACACCCCTTTTCAGTTTCGTCAGAGTATTGTGTGAGTCTTTATTTCCCCGTTATACGTTTTTTTATCAGTGATCATCAAACAGCCGATGTCTCAGGGAAAAGGCTGTCTTCAACTTGCTCAAGCTTGTATGAAGTGTGATACCTGCTAGAGATGGTCTCGTGACGCTTGCACGGATCTACCGCAATGTTAGTACAATAAACTAAGCAGGCCTCACCGCAACTTGCATGCTGTTTGGGTGGAACTGAGCTGGAAGGTTTTCTGAAGAAGAATAAGATGTTAACGAATGTCATAAAATAGATGATGGAAAACGGGTAGCAGAGGAACAGAGAGCAGGAAAGCTCGTGAGCAGCCCGTAGGTACGATAGTCGTGGATTTCGGAAACGGGCTAACGAAAGGAGTCCTCGAATCACCTAGCAACATCAAGGAGCTGGTTTGACTGGGGACTTGGCGCACCTTTGTAGTGTAATGACCTAGATTGTCTCACGATCCTTCATTAGGATTCATCCGTCAACAAACGGACGATGAACATGTCAGGTAAGGATGCTGAAACATTGATATCCGTTGCAGGAAACAAAGGCAGTTGGTTTTCCAATACAGTCAAACCCGCTGGATTCAGAAAGGCAAAAAGTGCCAGAACAAGGTCAAACAGGACTGTATGAAAATAGGGGAGGAAAGTCGAATCGTTAGCCGATCGGATGAGAGACGCAAGAACGTGGGAAATAAGCGAATGAATTACCTTCGAATAGGGCGGGAGAAAGACTACAATTCAACATAAAACACTGAAGCTGCAGCAGGCAATGTAACAAATAAATGCACGAAATGATTTCGTGATTAACATGAACCTGATGGATGGCCTTGCTCTCCCACACAGCTTGCAGAATGGGAAATATGAGATCCTGTGGCAAACATCAAACTTAAGCCAAACCATATTAGGTGGCTGAGCTGTCACGTAGTCCCAATACACTAAATGCGGATAGGCCGCGACTCTCAAAGCTGACATCCTCCAACTCAAGAGGCTTTGGGGGTTTTGCTGTTATTACCCCACGTGTTAAAAGCTGGAGGGTGGTGCCAAGTGTCCCCCACTCCAAGAAAATGGCCATAAAGCAGCTTTCGGGAGACAGTCGCCAGTCACCCTCTGAAGGAAGCAACCTGGTGATGCAGTTCATGCTCGAAAACCCAAGCACGAATTCCGTGAACTTCAAAGTAATAATAACAAAGTGTCTCATGGGTGCCCAAAACGGGTGAAGGCCCCAGACTACGGCTGACGAAAGTTGTCTTTCTGGCTTCTTAAATGACAGCATCCTCGCTGGAGGCACTCTGGGAAAACAGAAATCATCCGCTACATGGAGTTAACAGGTGACCTGACAGGTCTCAAGAAGGGAGACTCCAAGGAAAGCAAGGGTTGGAGCTCAGTTTAATTCTTGAAGAACCGCCTGGATGGAAATACAGGGGAAGGGGAGTGATACCGCACTAGTAAGCCACAACTAAGCAGATCCCGAGTCCCACACCTGAGAATGCAGCTAGTTAACTGAAAAACGGAGAGGACTCAGAAGTATGTTCAAAGTCGATGGCAAATTGCATTTATACATGTGCACAGGGTTCACCAAATGTACTCAATGTACCATGAGGAATGAATAACGACGATTAAGCTCATCTTAAAGGTGTCTCCGAGACATGTGTTTTTCCCGACGTCTCAGACAGGGGGCTGATGATTGATAAGTCTGTACTGTTTTGCAGCTTTAGAAGGGCTGTTAAGGGTGTGGAGTAGCCCTTTTAGTTAGTTCTTCACTCACAGCTAACAAAATCCATGTTCAAGAGCCAGTTCGTCTCAAGGAGTCCATTTGGTGCTTCTTAGAGCACTTATCGGAAGCCGTATGCTAACATACATAAAGGCGATCAAATGTTAAAGGCAATCAACCACCTTAAACTTGGGGGGAGATATATAGTAATTCTAGGAGACTTGTTTATGCAGTAGTGTAACTTTGAGGACCACACGCTTAGTAGGGATGGGGACTCAAGTGAAGCCCGAAACTGCAAGCTGATTGACGGACCAGGGCTTTCGGAAAATGCGAGATTATTAACGTGACAGAGGGAAACCCATACCCCATCACACTCGGACTGCATCTTCACAAATGAATGATTCTCGGTTGATAAACTCGCAATCCTGACTCACTCAAGCAGTAACGGCCAAGCTGTTATCAGCTTCTGGCATGTTTGCGCGGCCAAGCTGGCCAGATCTCTCAGCCAGTGTCGTTAAAGCCTCAGAAGACAACGTTCTAGCTCTTCGGCTGACGCCGGAACAGACTGATTCGTATCTTGACCATGTATAGCAGGACGTGAGCACTCATCGGGGATTCATACTTGACAGGATCATGCATGTCATCAGCCAGTGTGTTCCACTTGCAACGCCGAAGTGATCCAAAACGTCTAGGTAATAAGCAACTCAGGCTAAAAAGACACCACTGGACCGAACACGAGGGGAATATTACCGAATATACGAAGGCGTCGGAAGTGAATCGAGAGCAGCATCAAGTTGGGTTTGTAAACGTCTTTTTCTAACCCAGGAAGTCTATTCCACTATGTTGTACCATTCCAGCAGGCCAGAGCGAGAATCTCTCAACTACCAGGGGCCAATGCGCTGACTAGTGGCGATAGGGCAGCAGCTGAAATACTGCCTGATGAGCATTCGTAAATCTCTTCGTCATCGATCTCCTACCCAAGATTTTACGAATGTCCCACTAGCGAAGTAGGATTCTCGGTTGTTGGCTTAGGCCCCTTCTCTCCAGAAGGACAAATTCGGCTTGGAACGCATCCATAGGCGCTCGACAAACTATGTTCAAGGACCTAGGTCTAAAACATACGAAGAACGACTGGTTGCGCTGGGTCTGTATCCTCTGCAATACAGAAGGCTAAGAGGAGGCTTGATAGTGACTCAAAAAGTTCCTGAGCACTTTTAGACAACTATCCATCACCCATTAAGTATGAGCCGCAACACTAACCCTAGAGGATACTCACGGAAACTAAGCCTGGAACATAGCAGGTTCTGTGTCCAGTCTACTTCATCCGAATCCTTTAGACGCTGGCTGGATACTTATTTGACATGTGGCTGGGATTTGACTAGAATAATTTGGATTCGCACATTTTAATGGTGACTTTTTCCTCTCTCTACCCATACACAGGTCAACAACCACAAGAGGTAGTGATCCACAGATTTTATACTGGGAAGCCAGTTAAGCGAAAGCCTGTTCTGTTCCTTCAACAACCATTCGGACCATTTGAATTCATACCTTACAAAGTAATGGGCTGGAGGATCACCTTCTAACAACCAGCATCTATACCCCCTAAAACAAGGGTATAAAAAGGGGTATTCTTGGATAAATGACCTGCTCACCACAGTGGATAGATGGTCTGGTATTGTCTACCGTCGAGGTCTAACTGATTTCATTCATTTAAGATATGCTAAGGCATCCAATCGCGTTAATCATGACTGCCTTGTCGGTGAATTCGTCATTGGGATCAGACCACCTCTCGTTCACCGGTTGCTCTTCTATGTACAAGGTTGTTTGTTTTGAGCTCGTGTGAGTTTCTGCAAGTCTAAAGAAACAGATTTTATTGGTGCAGTCCCCCAAGAATCAGTACTAGGGTCTCTTGTTTTCTGAATATACACAAATGGTTTGCTTCAAAGGTCTGTACTGCAATCCTTCTTTTTACCAAGGACATGTGACCATGGGGAGAAATTGAGTGAAGGCCGTACTTCTCCACAGGAAGAAGTAATCCAAATTCAAAACTGGGTTTTCACTAGCGAGCGTGCATTTAATTCTGAAAGTTGAAAGGTTGTACACGCAAAAAATGATGCAAGCCACATGAGTAGAATCAATGGCATAGAATTTGAGGCATAGTAAGTGGAGGAGGGTTTGGCCGTTTCAGCCTCCCAAGACTAAAATCCTATGCCAACTGTGACAGAAACGCATTTCGTAGAAACTTGGTGTCAGTAACCCTTTGACGGATCTCTGGACAGTTTGACCGCAGGTCGTTTCATCAAATTCTCATCTGCTTCATACGGCTTGAACTGGAATTCGCTGCCACCGTCCCCCACCCCTAGCTTGATGGGAACAAATTAAGCTCAGAACACGCCCAGAAGTGCTCGATCAAACTCGTTTGAGGACTTAGATCCGAAACGAAGGGAGAGTGACTGGTTGTGCCTGGTCTATATCCTCTAGAATATTAAAGGCTGGGAGAGAGGGTTATAATGGCTCACGATATCTTGAACACCTACCGCACCCGCCTCATCACTTATTGCGTCTTAGTTGTAGCACTAATCTTAGAGGACACATACGGAAACTGCGTCTGGAATGGTCTCAATACCAGACACAACTACCACTCCCTAAGAGTTTTCAGAACCTGAAATTCTCTTCCTACCGAAGCGATTCATGCTATTTCATCTGAATCATTTGGACGTCGGCTTGATTATTACTTGATGTAGGTGGGATCTGCTCACAACCAACTGAGTTTTCAAATTTTGATCACAAAGTTCCACTCTCAACAAGTTAACAGCTACAGGAACTAGTGGTCTATGGATTCTGAACGCCGAAGTCAGTTGAGTGAAAGCTCCTATTATTAGTACCATTGGATATCGGATATTGGACCCAAGATTTTGGCGGTAATGTTGGGAAAGGCGCTACGAAATGACAAGAGGTTTGCCTACAAAGGTCATTATCCGAAGATTACCTCCTAGACTAAAGGTCGATGATTTCATCAAAATTGTCGACCCTCTGCCTGCACATACTTATTTCAAGTTCTGTGATGCAGATGACTCTTTGGGCATATTCGGGCTCACACGTGCGTATATAACATTCACTGATATTGACGCATTATTCGACTTCAAAGAGAGGTTTGATGGCTACATTTTTTTGGACTCTGAGGTATGTTCTGTTTCATGTGATCACTTCTGTAGGGAAATGAGTCTTCCGCAATTGTAGAATTCGCTGTTTGCCAGGCACTAGCAAGCGCTAAAGGATCTTCGAATGGGAAAAAAGGAAATCAAGTAGACAAGAAACAGGGGACTTTGTCTAGTGACCCAGATTATCTGAGCTTTGCAAAATCTGTGGAATCTGTTGAAGCTACTAGCGAAACAGAAACTGAGTCGAAAAAGACCCCATGGGAAGCAATTTTAGATGAGCTTCAGAATAGGGAAGCAGATAATGCCCAGGTTAGTTTGCTACTTTTATCCCATTTATTCTAACCTTTGTAAGATGATACATTTTATAACATTCTCCCACACTAGTCATATTCACTAATACAACTGTAGAAGACATCTGCTAATCACCTAGATTCCTGATTATCGGTTTTAGCGATATAGGTTACCTTATTGGAGTTTCTAGGATATTATAAACTAAGCATATAAGAATTTCCGTGACATAACTTAGAACCGAATATATAAGCACATTTTTGATCTCATTGGTTAAACATTGACACCCTATGCTGGTATTGTTACTTTCATTTTTTCTGTCTATTATCGTATTTTTTCAACGGCCTTTTGAAGCTTTTTGAATCCCTCAGCTCTCGCTCTGTTCATAGATAGGCATGAGTATTTTTAAACTGTTAATTGGTGTAACCATACTCAAATTATGACGTGAAGTTGGTAAGATGTCGAAAATTTATTCGAACCCTGCACTTTTTTGTCCGAACCTGAATGAGTCTCACGTAAATTGCTCATATTGAGGGTTTAATTAACACTAGATTGGAATTTATGTTTTGTAAGATACATATGTTTTTCGACAGTGTCAAGATATCAAAACAAGATCATTCACGTGGTAAAGTAATCACATGATGTTACTAAAATAAAATAAGTGTAATCACACATTTAACTAACTCACCTAAGCGCAGTTTTATTGGGACACAAACATGGTACAGCAAGAACACTAAGAAATGCACCACACATAGTATAACAATTATGTGAAGATACGATGGGAAGTGGATAAGTAAGGGAGGAGAATTAATAAGAATAGCATGATTTGAAGGGCAGTCCAGTAAACTACATTCAAAACAATTTACTAATTTTCAGCAGCAGATAAGAGGAAACTACAGCATGACCGCCACCGGTTTCGATTCTGAGCCATATCTGATAACGTCTCAAGCCTCTGAGTTGCTTGATCTCTCGAACCTCACCCAGGGAGTCATGATGCACCAACAGATGCTAACCTGGTACAACTATCATTCATCTTACGGCGCCACATCATACACGGACCATCCCTCCGCTTCTTCCATCTAGTCTCAGGTTTAACAAACTGTGAACGGTATGGAAGCCGTTGGAACGACATGCTTAACATTTGTCCAAGCCACCGAAGCCGATATTCGCAGATGATTATATTTATTGAATGACAATTCCCATCATGTCCAAACACACATTTTCGTATCTCAAAGTTATTTTCATGGTATTTCCATTGGATACAAGCCATCTTATGGAGAAAACAATGGTCTGAGACGGAGTCGTCTCATATCATCAGTTCGGAGTGGCCACATTTTACAGGCGTAAAGCAAAACTGCTTGCATCGAAGCGTTGTAAACCCGATCTCTTACAGCCAGACTGATGTCGCGACGGCACCGACGGTGGCCCATATTAGCCTACGCCTTTTTAACTTTCAATACATGGTTGGAAATTTCACCACACCTCAACCAGCAGTCGCACAACCATCCAGATACACGAACTTTTCGGCTATTTCCAACGGCTCATTACCGAGGGTGAGCACAGACACTGTCTCCTGCCAATCTTGAAAAAGTACTTTGCACTTCAGTGGTGCAAAGCATATGCCATACTTACAGACACTGTTACTAGGTGTTCAGTAAATTCTAACCCACTGTAGTCTTATCCGATATGATAAATAACCTGCTTTTGTACTACGTTTGGAGTAGACCAAATTTTTTTAACCTTATAACTATTACATCAATGTAATTGACCGTAGTTTCCATTGTTATAACAGCAGTGCATAAAGTCGGGTCAAGAAGCAGTGATTGCATTTGTTGCATATTTTAATGGTATTCTCATTATGTTTTATTTAATTGTTACTGAGAAATTAACGACTAGTTGAGATTCGATGTCTATTCTATTCTATTCTAGACTAACTTCAGTGATATTAGACACTCACTTGACTGCTTAAGTTAAAGCCTCAGCAACAATCATTCAACTAGTATTAAGATTAAACTTCGCAATATTTATAAACGGTCCAGTTCGCCACATCTCATGCGAACACATCAAAATACGTAATAGCTAGATAAAAGAAAAACAAGAAATGTGATCAGAACACGTAGAAGTCATAGGAATAGATGAAAAGAGGATATAACAAAAACGGAATCTGAAATGACTATGACTAATATGAAGATAATGTGTAGATGCATCTGCACCAGTGATATCGACCTTGGGCACTGTCAGCTGCAGTCTTCTATAGCTGGTTTCTATAGTCATGTGGAACCTGACCGAAAACTTTACATTTGCCTACGTGAGTAAGAGCGACAGTTAAAGAATTTTGGGAATGACTCAATTTTTAACCTGACCACCTCTAACCTTTCTCCAGCCTGAACCTACTACAGTTATCATTTTGCAAACGAAGTAGATGGTGACTGAGCAAGCGTAACTTATGTCCCAATCACTTGAGTCGTTGGAGATTGATAACTTCATCAACTAACTTTACTCACCTTCCTAAAAGTTTACACAACTTCTGCATTAGTAAAGTGGTGACACCACAACACGCAGCCTATGTTATGTAAGCAACAGTATTCGAACACTTGAAACCTTATGTCCTCTCCCTTTAATGGCCAGTAGAACAGAGAGGACTGCAGCGCAGTACACTGTGTCCTCAATATGCTATCGGTGATCATGTCGGCGCCAACCCAGTCAAACCATTGATATCTGTGTAGAAATTTCGTCGGTATTTGACCCACCAAGTCTGATTCAACTTCCAAAGTAAGTGAAGTAGTCTACGCGTTCAACCATTTCACTTCCTTTTGTTAGACATGGCACTGGCGTACCAGTTCTGGGGCCACAATTTTCACCTTGGTGGCAAGAAACGCGTCACAAACATCCCAAACTGCCACTAGACGTGTCCGGAAGACTGCATCTTGTCATCGTCTTCACCCACCAGTACTATGTTATCTGCGTACTTCGGATCTATCGACTCTCATGTGGCATGGTCAGTTCCTGTGAATTCGAAAAAGGGGGGACCTTCATAAGTACGTTTGTGGAAAGTTAGTAATTAAGCTCGGCGAGAGTGGATGTCTTTAACGGACACCACTCAGTGTACAAAAATCACCATAGATTGTAAGATTCCCACAGGTATTGGGAGGCAGAGCCTTCAACTGGGTATGTACTTTTTTGGCACTCCTCTCAGTGAGAGACACGGTCATAAGACCTCTTGACCGACGGAGTTAAATGCCTCTTTCAGGTCGAGAAATATAGCTAGTGTCGGGCATCTGTATGTCTGTGTTTCAGAAGCTGGTTGAGAATGAATATCGATGCATACATGACCAGGTTGGAAACCTGTGTAGTTCATTCGGATATGCTGTTCCGCAACTTCAATTGGGCGTCTAATGATGTTAGAACTTGCGATTTTTGACACTGTATATGTAAGACTGATTTCCCTGTGGTTATCACAGGAGGATTTCTCTTCCCTTCTTGAATATTGGGTAAATCGGTGATTGGGATCAGTCAAATGGAATCATATCTGACTCCCATATACTAGTTAACTTGACCAATTTTCGGCGACCACCCTCCTTAAACACCTGCTGTACTAGCATATCTCGCCGTACTATCCGTCGTTGCAGATAACCTACAGCATTCCCAACTTCTGCAAGATTCGGAGAGCCTGTATCAATGTCCCAAGTATCTGACTGGATCGTAGAGAACTGAAAAGTAGTTGGAGCCCAGTCTAACCGATTGTCGATGTGTTCCAACCATGACTCTAGTCTTTGAGTGAATTTTTGACTCATCCTTCTGCACTATAGTATCACTAAGCATTGCCTTTTTTGCCTGTTTCCTTGATAAGTCTAAATAACTCTACTGTTACTTATCACCGCTACCTTTTCCATCTCTTTGGTCTTCACTGGTCACGGCCACTGCGTAGACTGCGCTAGTTTACATTTGACTTGTTTTTGCTCATCTTTGTGCTCATAGCCCTCAAGAATGCGTTCACGTGCATGTATTAATACGGGTGCTGAAACCCACCAGTCTTTTCTTTCTTCTTCCCGAGAGTTAGTTAGGACTTTGGTACCGTTTTTACAATAGACTTGGGACGGTGCCAAGTTCCTTCTGGATGAGTGACATTGTCATGCTCCGATAACTGTCTTCTCATTCTCTTACTGATGACTACCATAGTAATCGCATAATTGATTTAGTATACGTTATATTTTCGTTCTTTTGAGATTTCAAAAACGCCTCTTGAATACCTTCTGGCCTCAGTCAGCCTCATTACTTGTGCACTGAAATCACCTGCTGCGGAAACCACATTCCGATGTTTGTCTTTGAGGACGAATCTAGAAACTTCAGTAACACTGACATTCATTCCATCCGAACTGCCATCAGTGGGTGATAAGCAGAGATTAGGCAGTGACTGTGGTGTTTCACTGTTCTCTTCAGTGATCACTGCACTGTCCTATCAGACAGCACGCAGATAACTATTAGTGCACTAACTGCCTAAGGTGTTAGTTGTGTGATTAGACCTGCTGGACAGCGAGAGCTAGCCATCGAATCTCCAGAAACTCAGGGCATCAATTTTTTAGATTCAACATATTGACCGATTGAGGTTCAATGAGTAACGACACTTCAGTCTTGTCTGAATGTCGCTCAATACATCACGCGTTCATAACCTAAGATGACAAAGTTGTGGCTAGCAAATCTTGTTATGTGATTTGGTGGAGGGTGTAGACATTGGAAACTCCGATGTGATTTTAAGCACTTTTGTTGGAGACCAGGGATGCTTATTTATTGACTCGAGTCGTTATCATGGGCTGCAGTGCATCAACTGATCAAAGATAGATTAGGAATACTGACTGAGACGTGCAGAAAGAGTAGAAATCTAGGATGTGAAAGTTAAAGAATGACCTGAGGGAACCTAAGCGCTGACATGGATGTGTAGGGACTTGATGCTTCCTGGCTGCCCACACCGTGGGGAGCTGCATCTCCCAGAAGTACCTGAAAAAGAAATTGTGTTAGCAATAGTTATGTTTGACCACACAGCCAATGGGAACTCTGCTTGAGACTGGTTACACATGGTTCTTTTGTAAATTTGTGGTTTAGCTCTGACTCATTCATCTAGAAAACCCTCACCACCTGCATCGGAATACCGTAGTTCAGGGGAAGAGTGATGTTTTCAAGATCAACCTTTTAGTGGAGCTGTGGCTCATTGGTTTAGGGAATCCCTTTTCACTCAGTGGATCACGAGTTTGAACAGCACTCCACCTACCAATGTTTAGGCAGCCACGTAGTAAAATTAACCCTACAATGAGTGTGGTTCATTGTGTACTGCACAGATATGTAGAAGATTACTGAGTGCATTACGTTAATTTCTTTTCGGTCAACCTTTTTTACCCTTATACTCATAGGGAAGGGAACATCATAATGGAATGCTGGTCATACAAGGTAAACACTTCACTGCTGTCACACCCCGAACAACCAACAGTGCAACTTAGCCTTTCGGCTCTTACTATAGCATAAATTACCAACTCTGTAACGGTAACTGCTGTTACTTTTGAGAGGGTTTTAATTTAGAAATCATCGTAAATAGAGAAGGGGTTTTCATACTGGCGATAGCAAAATCTTCCTGTAGAAACTAACAGATGCGTTCGACATTATATCTTCACTTCTTGGAGCTTTTGCTCATTGGTTTAGGTACGTCTTTAAACCAACAAGTTGCAGATCCGCATCCTACTTCACCCAAGTAGGTTTAGACACCCAAATGCTATCATTAGCCCTTGCAGTTAGTGGAAATAAGAAAGAAAGAATAAATGTAGCTCAACAGCGTCGCGCAGATTCGTAGGGCAGACAATACACTACTCCTGTCACATGGGGGTTAAGGACACTATCTAGCTGCCTAAATTTCGGTAAACGGAGCGGGATTCAGACCTGTGTCCCACTTGTCGAGCCGTGCCCTTGACCGATGAGCCACAACTCCACCATAAGTAGGTTTCATATCCCAGTGCTAAAAAACTTTAATTGCTGTTGGCGTGTATTGTTTTATTTATTTTTTGCATGTATAAAAGTTCTGGTCGATTTTTTTATAGGCAAATCTTTTTTGTAGCTGTTTAGTAGTGGTTTGGTGTAGGTAACTGACTGCGCTGTAGTGCAATATGTATTTTCAGAAAAGTAGGGATCTAAAAACAGTTAAAAATCGCGAAACAGCAAATCTTCCTGCAAGATAACAAATTCACTGTGTTATGGGTTTCCTACTCTGGCATCCAATTTTTCCTTGTTTCAACTAGCTGCTTGTCGTTCATTGGAATTCTGGTTGGTCCGTGCCGTTTTCAGTTACTGAACTGTGTCTTCCACAAACTGCTCATCACTTCATCATCTGATCTAATTATTCCAAAATTATACGCGCCGTTTAAGCCTACTGCTTTCAACCCTGGAACCTTGATTCAGATAGGACAACAGACACTTAATTAGAACTCTTAAAGGTCTGAATATTGATGTGCGCTATATTTCAAAGACCCTGCATACCATGTCCGAGGATTTGCTTTCAATGACTTTTTCGTTTGTCAGCTCAATAATTGTGCATACCGTGTACTTATATGAGGATTCTGTGGCATCCTTGACGTACTCGTATTGATGCTAGACCCCCAAGCTGCACTAGTCAGTTGGATCCACAGGAACACATGGTAGCACATGGTAGATTAGTTTTCCACCACTCTGAAAAAAGGCTATCGTTAAAACAATTTTTTTAAAACGGTTTATTTAATTTGAATTAATCATTGAGATACCAGTATGGTTTAAGTATTGTTTCTTATCATACTTCACAGGCTCTTCAGACGTCCTATATCGTGAATGCATTTATAACGTGTTAATCTTCCGCCAAACACATGAACACCACTAGTGTGTGTGTGTGTGTGTGCAAACTATCTGTTTTTCATGATACTAGGGCCAAATTCTATTCTTTGAACTGGGTTAGACTATAGAGGAGCGTGTTATAGAGGGGTGTCAATAGGAAGTCTGTTAACAACTTTAAGATCGTATGCTAAAACGCCTCAAGTAAAGTGGGGGAGTCATTCTACCGCCTCTTCATTATTTCAAATAAGCAGTAGCGCTAGACAGGGTTGTCCGGTTTCGCAATTATTCTTTGACTTCACCGCCTCCATTATTGAGACAGCAATGGAGGTGCAATTCTGTTACCAAAGAAAGGAAATGACTCTTCGATTGTGTGTGTGGACGATATTGTTTTACTGTGCGATAACACAGGTTACTCAAATCTCACTTATTTAGTTGGTAATTAGTGTCCGTAATTGGGCTCCGTGTTTTGTACTGCTGTATTGCAAAATGTTTTCACAAGATAAGCAGTAACTTGTACCTGCACTCAACCTTGGTAGTGAACCTTTGGAATTTGTTAGAAAGTTTAGGGCCTCTGGGTTACGCTGGTGGATTTTTGACTGATGTGGTTCCCAGCTGTTTTCCGAAATGCAGAGAGGAATATGGTGATTTGTTTAAGCTTTTTTGCTTCTACGACGCCAGCCTATCTGTTAAATGTCAAATGTACAGGGCATCATTGCAAACATTTTTGCTTCATGCCTGTGAAACGTGACCACCCCGAGCTGAAGATGTCCAACGACTTTACTTGTTCGATTACTGCTCTCTCTTTAAGAGTGAAACCGTGACTCATTGGTTTAAAGACTTAACTTTCAACCAATGGATCATGGGTTCGAAGACCTCTGTACCCACCTAGGTTTGAGCATGATAGGTGTCGCTAATTGCCTTATGAACGAGTGTACATAAAGTTGTTGAGTGTACTTCATTTTTCATTCATTTTCTCCATACAATTGTTATCATGCAGTGGAAACACCATGTAAGTAATTCTGAGGTGGCTCATTTTTTCGCATAATGAAAGTGATCATTCACTGAATTATGAAACGTTGACCTTAGTGGCTTGGACGAGACACAAATTTCATCGGATCAGTTTTCATATTGTCCACTATTCTCTTTCCCTGAGATTGGTGGAGATGGACAGTCTGTGATGTTGTGTCTTGTGATGAGAGGTAGTGGTGTTGAATTATCATCTATTGGTACCTTACGAATCTTTGACTGTGTTCTGAGAACCTTCACAACTCAGATTTGGTTCAGAATTGAGACCAATGGTGATCAAATTACAGCTTTCTCGTGACCTGAATGCTTCTTTGAATGCACGCCTGAAATTGCTTATCTAGTAACTTCTTTTTATTTCCATCCTAATCTCTTCTCTTATTGCCCACATTACTTCCCTATCTTCGTAATTTCGCTACATTTTTTTTATGAAACATTCAATTTCATCAATGACACATTTACGAAGTTCGTGTTTCATCGAAATGGTAACATAAAGTTGTTAAAGTTTAAAGCTTGTAAAGAATACGTGCAAGCATCTTGTGCAACAATAATTAGTGTGTAACTTTAAAGGCCACCCTAGTAACTAATAAAATAATGAAATATTTTTCCATATTTTATGGGATAACTACGTTTTCTTCCGCTGACAATATACATAGTTGATTCGTTTAGTTCTTTCCTAACAATCTATTAGTTCTTAATGTAACTGCAGCATCTCTTCATAGTTTAGCTCAGTGATGATATTTGAATCGGATACTAAAAAGGATTTTCGGTAAAAAAGGTTTGTTTCAAATGTGTAAGATAAGCAAGATCTTCAGTAGACTTGTCCTAGAATACGAACAGGTTTTTGATATTTTCCGTATACGTAACAGAACGCCCTTCCTTAAAATTTAGTTTGTGGGTAGTTTAAGAGTATCAGAGTCAAGCTAATAAAGTAGTATAAAAAAATAGGTGGTTTTGGTTGACCAACAAAGGTTTAAGGCATCCACTGACCTCGTAAGAGCTAACTGTATAGTTGATTTCCATAAAACTTTTGAGGTAAAGTGTCAAGCATCCGTTAATTCATGTGACTTAACTCAAACTGCATATGTTGAACAAGCTGAATCCATATTCAGGTAGTAGGGTAATTAGGAGTACGAAAGAATTTCCGGAGAGTATGTCAGATATTTTGTGTGCTTGTTATAAAGACTATACATGACAAGTTGAACTCTTATTCTGTCTACAGTGTTTATCGTATATTGTCATTTTAAATGTAGGTAAATAAGTCGTATGAACTAGTGGACTATAATCAAGTGATAACTGATCTTGTATGAATTGTTTTCGTTGATATGCACGGCTAGTCGATTTCAGACGGAATAAAACTACCATGGTGGTTCTTATGTCCTAGTATTTTTAATACTGTCTGAACAAGTGAACCAGTATTTTATAACTTAACTACGCCTGTTGTCCCTGATTTGGCATCAATTGTTTCCACTCGTGCATGAAGCACTTTTGGTTGTTTCTGTAATTTGTATTATAAACGGCCGTCTCTCATTTCTTAACGTAGACTCAAACTGTTACACCACTTCTGGCCTACTTAAACAATCGCGATGCAGATATCAGGCGCAGAGATGAAGAATCATCACGCTACAGGCAGTTCAAACAGGCCGGAGCATCATTAGCTAGAAAGAGAGTTGAAAAACCACTACGGATTCATCCAACAGCTAGGCGAGGACATGATGTAAAACGTAATTCAACAGATCGTTCAAATTTTAAAGAAAGTTCCCACCATAATAATACCAAAGAGGGAACGACAGGAACAGATTCCAAAACACTACAGAGTAATAAATCTGAAAAGTTAGCAGTTGTGTTGAATGCAGATGAATTTCCTGCTATGCAAAGTTTGTGTAAGTTTGTGTTTCTTTTTAACGATTGTTGTTCACAAGCTCATGTGTTTGTACTACAAAGTAATTTATCTGACTGTTTTTTAGGAAATCAGCTGTTGAGTTCGTCTTAAACACCAGGGTATATACCAGACAAGTTTTTACAACCCCAAAATCCATACATCACACATTTTATGTGAAACTCGGGTTAGATTTCAAGTTTAGCCTATTTTCATTTATGGGTACTTGTAATTTCTCGTTGCTATACTGGGTCGAACTACTTGACCTTCGTTAGCAGATAGGCTTCTATGTAGATGCCTTGATACTGCTCAGATATACATTATATTGCAGTCTATTTGATGACTATCAGAAAAATCCAGGATGCCCGTTTCATCCTATTTTGGGCTCATCAGCCCAGTGAGTGATGTTCCCATCAAAATTCGAGTCTCGATGAGTACAAAAAAACATTACTTGAAGAATTATGCTTGTCAGATTTCCTTAGCTCGTCGGAGTTAGTGTCCCTGTAAATTCAGGCAAGCCATATTTCTTTCCTAGGTTTTATAGCTGTCATCTTAGAGGAGCATTAACAGTTTCGACAGAAGTAAGATTCTGAAATAATTACAGATTTTGAAATATATTACAGCAAGCAATTAGGTGTGTGACTTTACTTGAACTGTAGTTTAGCGTAGTAATAGCTAATTTCAGAAAATTACGATTTGCTGTTTACTGCTTAATGTATGTAAGCCAATTATCTGCGTCACATAATCTAACTACGTGCATTTTTTTTCCGTTATTTTTTCGGTGTTAACAAGCTTCATACCTTAAAAAGCTATACCATCACATTTATAACCTATGTTTGCATCAGTAATGTTTTGTAGGTATGAAGGTTTTCTATTCGTTTGTTGAATTCTTAAAAATCTGAATCCGTCGATCATCCTTAGACTTATTTATTTAAAAAAATCCTGAACTTTATCTAATTGGGTAAACAAAGTTCAATTTGGGGCTTATTTTCATTGGACTTGATACAGCAACCTAATATTTAAAAATACTCTACCATAGTGGCCACGTTCTACCCATTCAGAATTAAGACTATATAGCAAATAAACTATAAATTTCTTTTATGATTAAAAAGGATAATTTTGAGCATTTCAGTCCTAAACCGAAACGATTGATTTTTAAATTTAGATCAGCGTTCGAACAAGGTTCCAAACCAAGTACCTGATCGGTCTCCAGTGTGGGTTTCAGGCAGTTCAGACTCGACTGGCGATAAATTGAGTTCACCTCTGTCCAAAAATTCTGCCAATTTAATAGACTTAAAAGAACCTACAAAGATTTTAGATGTTGCTTCTGACAGCAAGGATAAAGCTAACCATTTCGATTCAGAAGGAAGCAGACCATCAGAAAGAGTGACTGAACCAAGAAATAAAGAGTTACATACCAAGAGTCAAGTTGGACAGGTTTCAGGCAGTCAAAATGAACCAACATTTAGTGAATGCAACTCAAAGCAAGATAATGCCTTCAGAGCTAAGAAAGGTTCTCACTATACATTTGTCAATTCAGTTCGTAAACCGTCTTCTAAACTCCTTAGGAGTAAACGAGATCCAGATGCCAATACACAGAGTTATGGCATAGGAAATTATGCGACCGACGAGCAGGAAAATGATTACAGTCACGACCGATCCAATTGTTTTTTCAAACCTGGAAGTCGAGGTCGTGATAACCGACGCGTTACTGTAACTAGCCATGAAACGTATCCCAACTCATCTCGAGATTCGCACAGGTAGGTTCTGTCACAAAAACCTCTTTATTATTTTTACTTATCAGTTTCTCTAGTTATATGGATGCATTAAGTCCTGACTATTCTTTATTCTAGAGATCTCATGCATTTAGGCTAATAACTGTTGTCACAAATGAATTTAAATCTCCTAGTTCTCCATCATTGTTCTTTTGATAAAACGAATTGTCGTATATGGTTTCTTAAAGTCAGCCGAAACTGATGCTGATTTCCATCTTAGATTAACTATGAGCTAAAGAAGAACGATTAGAATTTCGTCTTTTGATACTTGTAATTTCCTGTTGCTGTACAAGGTCGAATAACTCAACTTCTGTTGGCAGATTGGCTCTTGGATATTCTGGATAATGTCGAATATTAATTATATTGTATTCATCTTGGTGACTTGCAGTGGAATTCAGGATGCGCGTTCCTTCCTGTTTGAGACTCGTTGGGTGAATACACCTGCACCCCAGTCACCGATGTTGTTCCCACAGAGACTCGAAACCAGTACCCATCGCTTCAAATGCCAAAGCGTTATCCATTGGGACACGAGAGCCACGGATATCAGTTATTGTTCCCTAGTGGCCTAGTAGGTAACACTTTGGGGTTCACAGCGATGGGTACTGGTTTTGAGTCTCTGTGGGAACAACAGTCATTGGGGTTGCAGGTATATCCAGCTGACGAGCCCCAGATAAGCCGAAACTCGCGTTGTGGATTCCAATGCAAGTTACCGAAGTGAATAGGACTGGAATTTTGATGAAATAGCTTTAACAATATCCTGTTCAGTCTTTCTGGAGAAAGACTGGGCGCAAATACTATGTTATCAAAATCACTACTGGCAAGTGTTTAATCAAAATTCTGCATTCTACATAGTTTTTATAAGGCATGTTGTAGAAACCGAATAAATTGATATTTATTTAGTGTGCAGAATTGTAATCAATTATTTCGATCATATCATTTTTAAAATTATATTTCATGTGCGCTGTTGCCTCTCTCTTTGGCATTCATGAATCCTTCAGCGTAAAAAAGTTTTCGGCTTTTTTGATCATGAATGAAGGCTATTTATGTAAGTAAAAGCCCGTCGTACTCGCAATTAACTTGATTTACTCTCAGTTCGTAAACCCTGCCATTTACTGCTATAAAAAATGGAAAAAATACCACATATTCTGATCGTGCTTAATGGTTTACTTATGCATAAGAACTCGGTTAACACTATATTTGCTTTCAGTGGCAATAATAGCTGATGTGCAATTTAATTAAGCATTAGAATGAACATACAGTAGCTTGCTTTTGAAGGTTCACTATTGTGGCCACATGAGGTCAATTTAATAACCACACTCAAATCTTATCACAGAGACACAGCATGCATTCGCGGCTAGAGATTCCAGAGTTTTTGCGAGTGTTACTTGCTGTCGGATTTGGCATAGAGTCCGGACGTTGAAAGCTCGTACATGAAATCAATGCCGGAGTCTTAGGAGACTAGGAATGAGATTTAGATGGCTTTGATCGTTGACAGTGGTTGCAGAGTAATAAGATTGGTAAAGAGTAAGAGGCTTTATATTGGTATCAGGAGGTGAAGGCAAAGAGTGAGGGAGAGTTGAGGAGGATAGGTTATGTGTGATTATGTTTTGTGTACTACTGGAAGTGCCCGGGTAGTTGACATTTCCCGGCTGTCCATACCATGGAAGGCTAGTTCTTCTTTCGGTACCTGACAAAGAAAACGTAGTATATGACTGCAGAGCCCATGGGACATCTCCTTGAGGCCTGTCACACATATAGACTTTTGGGGGTTGTTTTTGAGGTTTATTTGTTCTGACGCCTGATAGTGAGAACCCATTCCACCGGCACTGAAAGATCGTGAGGCCATGCTTAAGTGCTGACCTTTTCTCAAAACCCCTTCCGGTGAAAAGAAAGCATCAGCTTGGCACTGTTGGTCATCCACAGGAAACACCATACTGTCACACACCATCCAGCTAGTAGCAGTACGACCTCACCATCAGGCCCCCATCGCAGTGTAGTAATTTACACTGCAACAGTAACTGCTTTTTGTCCTACCACTGTGTAACAGAACTTCCTGGCTTCCTCGAGAGAACAAGCGTTCCACCAACCATTACTCGTTGGGTCATTGTGATATGCATGCCTGACCACCATGTAGCTGCATACATCTGTTGTATTATGGAAATCCCAGAGATATGGCTCATTCGTTTAAGCATTTGACATTCAAGTAACTTCTCCTGAGTTTAAAGCCAGCAACATGTGCTCTGGCGACCGTGTAGTAGTGAAAATATTCATACACTGAGTGTGATTCATACCGCAGTACATTAACTACAATGCAGAGTGAGTTGCATTACTTATTTGTCATCAAAGTTGTTAGAACTAATTAGAAGAGGATGATTAGCTGTTTTAGTTTTCATGAACGGAAATTGCTTGATCTTGTGTCATAGTGACAGTTTAGACTTCTTTTAATAAATGTCTTTTTTCTGATAGGGGATCTCAACATATTTCAAAAGAAACTTCCGGTCGGAGTCATGATCAGGGAGATTCTATCCGCACTGAATATTATTCTGAACAACATAACGGAAGTGCTAGATTTTCCGGCAATTCTCGAAACTCTGGTCCATCCAGTAGAGGTCGACCTAATTCAATGGGAACTGGTTCTTATCGTCGTCCAGGCAGTTACAGTTCTCGTGGCCGGGGTTCGGGTTTTTAAACTAGTGAATATAAATGCCAGTCTGTATAACGCATTTCAACTGATCATCTTTTTTGTTCAGTGACTTTTGATTTGTGGTGTGATCTGTAACCACTGAGTGAATAGGTTCATCTTAGTGTTGTAATTTATGTATCATGAGTACAGATGAAAACTGACACTTTACAGTTAAAACTTGAGTCTTAAACTGAATCCCTTTATTCAAATGATGCTCTGTTTATTAAAAAATAATTTTCTCATCTATTTACATTTCATCTTTTCATATTCATGACAGATGATCAAAATAAACGTAGAGTCTTGCGCAGAAGTGCATCGGCTCACGTTAAAATATTACACCATAGCGTTCAAACAAAAAGTGACAGGCAAAAAAAACTCATACTTAGACGAAGGGCTGTAGAAATAGGAACAGTTTCAAGATGAGGGTTAGTGAGAATGTTGAAGCTTGAGATGTCTGAGAGTGAATAAATCCACCACATTGTAGCCTAGTTTCACCCATGTAATCAACGGTCTCCAAATAAAGATTTCTATGACCTCGGAGATCCAGCAATGACGAATATGCCTCTGCACACAGTTTACAGACATCACGGATAAAAACCATCCCTAGCACTGTAACCTCAGGTAATCGATAACTTGAAATACGTAGCATATCTCCACGACTCCTCACAAGTCAAAATATAAAAACCAAATCCAATACATTACCTATAGTTTCGAGACCAGGAATCACCTATATATACTCAATGAAAATCCACCCCTCATACAAAGCACACAGTATACTCCCACCTATAACACAATCCACATCGCCAAGCATTACGTAGAAAGTATAGAAATATCAGGAAAGTTCTCTACTCGAACTGATGCAGCGGTTCAAGGGCTTGTGGACAGTTGTCATCTGCATCGACGACAACTAGTGGTGGTGTCACCAGAGATGCTCACTGTCACCATTCATGTTTAACCTCGTTATAGATGTATTAATGGAGATAACCACAGATAGGTGACTTCACATGGATTGATCTACTCCGCGGAGGGCATCTGGTTGACCTGGAGTACGCAGACAACATTGTCCTGCTAGGCGAGAACGCTGACAAAATGCAGGGTGTTGTGAAGGCCTTCAGCTGAAATCTGTGTATGTTTGGGAGTTGTGAAATGTGGGATGATGCTTCGCGACTAGTCTGCAGCTACTCCTAGTTTAAGCATAATGAGTGAAGTGGTGGAATGCGTTGACCACTTCACTTACTTGCGGCGTTGTGTTGACGTACTGACTGTGATATTTTTTGTGTTTGTTTGTTTTCACTCACCTTCATCTTCGTATTTTTTCTCTTTCCTTATGTCTTCGTCTTACTAAAAATAAGTTTTCTTTTTTTATTTGTTCTGTGGACGATGCGGCGAAATTCACTAACTTGCTGCATTCCTGTTTGACGTTCTGCTTTTATTTTACTTTCTTGCGTAAGAGATATGATGCCGTGAATGCCTATTTTCACTCTACAGGTTAGCATTGTTTGAAGTCAGTTTAATAACTTGGCTCAATGAAATTTGTGACCGTTTACTGAGGTCTCTGCAAATATATGAGCAAAGTGTAACTGTAACTACTAGATACTTGATAGTTGGTGGAAATAAGGAAGAAGGGAAGGAAGAAGATGGAGAGTGTCAACTATTTCAAATATTATACAGTTTTACTTTTATCAGCAATGCGTTAGCCAACCTCGCCTGGTTAACTAATTCACTAGTTACTGACCGGTTAAAGAGGGAAGGTTGGGCATAGGGCTAGCAACCCTACCCCGTAAAACTAATCTAACCGCTAAAGAAACTTCAAAGCACAAACAAAATATAAAAAATAAAAACAAAATTATTCCTCACTGGAATCGGAGAGGCGAAATGACTCCGGCTGGTGAAAGCTTTCGGGAAGCCAATGGCATGATGTGTCTTCTCTCGATGAAAGCGAAAGTAAACGTGGGGACATGGAATGTCCTCACCATGTATGAACTTACTAAGGCTGCGCAGATTGCAAACGAGATGAGAAGGTATCACATTGAAGTGTTAGGAATTTGCGAAAGCAGATGGAATGGAAGTGAACTCTCTAAACTGTTAACTGCAGAGTCAATGATCTACTCTGATATTGTCACCCAGACGACAACCACGAGCACACTAAGTTATGTAGTGTCTATCATGATGTCCCCAAGAGCATAGAAGGTTCTGATGCATTGGGAACCAATCTCCTCCAGCATCGGGATTATGACAGCAAGATTCAACTCCTCAAAAGAAGGAAAGTCACAATCATACAATGTTATGCTACACGCCAACAGATAATTAAGATGGAAAGAAGGAGGAATTCTACAGACAACTACAATCAACACTGGAAAAGATCACACCTCAGTTGGTGACATCAAAATTCTAATGGGTGGGGTGACATGAATGCCAAACTGGGAGCAGACAACACAGGTGGAGAATGAATTATGGGTCGAGAGGCAATGGATGAAATGAACGAGAGTGGAGAACTGTTTGCATAAATCTGTGTATTCAACGATTCGGTGATTGCAGTGAGGCAGTGTGTTCAAGCACAAGGATATCCACAAGGCAGCGAGCGACGTGGGTTTCACCAGACACCAGATGGACAGACTAAAAATCAGATGGACTTCATCTGAATGTGAAGAGAGTGGAGACGCAGCCTACTTGACAGAAGATCAGATGAAGAAGGGGAGCAGATGTAGGTTCACACTACTGACTATCTAGTGCAAGAAACCCTCCTTCGAAATCAAGTTGAAAGCCTTCAAGGAAGTTTGTGATAGACGACGACAGTTCAAGTTCAACACCCAGAAGGGAAACTGAGGTGAGGGACGAAACTATAAAGGAAATCTTCACGGCAACCATCAAGACGAAATGGGAGATATCGAGGAACATCCCTGAAGAAACCTGTGTGGATGAATACTGGGATTCTTTGAAAGCTATGTGGAAAGAAATCCTCACAACCTTGTTAGGAAGGAAGAAGAAATGAGGTAGGGAATGGATTTCGATGGACACATGGAAGCTGATAGAGGAGGGAGAGGAGGATGGTGAAGCGGAAGATGAACCACTGCAGTGTAGTGCAAGGATGAACAGTGAAAAGAGGAACTGAGTACAACGTGCAAAGCACTGCACTCGATAAAGAAGTGAAGAGAAGTGCACGGAAAGACAAAAGAAACTTCTACGACACACTGGCAAGTGAAGCGTAACAGGGTGCAGATAGGAGAGATGGAGACTTGACAACACTATAACAAATAATCAGTCAGCTTACTATCTGTGAAGAGATCAATGCACATGAAACCAATAAAAGATGATGAAGAAAATTTAATTACCAAAGAGGAGAAACAAAGGAAACGATGGGCTGACCACTTCAAGAAGCTCTTGAATCTACCACCACCTGCACCTCATTCTGAAATACCACCAGCAGCCCAGCCACAGAACTACAAGTGAACATAAATCCTCCAACAAAAGTCAAAGTCCTGAGCTCCATAAAGCTACTGAAATGCAGGGAAGCAGCAGGACGAGGTGGAATCCTGCCAGAAGCACTGAGAGCAAATGCAGAGACAACAGCGGACATGCTCACACCATTATTGCAGAAGGTGTGGAAGGTACCTGGCGATTGATTGGAAGAAGGGTTACCTTGTCAAACTCCCGAAGAAGGGAGACCTCAGTGTTTGCAAGAACTGGTGTGGAATCACGCTCCCGTCCACCCAAAGCAAGCAAAATATTAAGCCGCATCATCCTGGAGAGACTAAAGGATGAGCTGGATTCAAAACTACAACCGGAACGGGCTGGCTGGCTGGCTTCAGGAAGTACAAATCATGTGGGGACCGAATTGCAACGTTTCGCATCATCATAGAACAGAGTATAGAATGGCAGTCAACTCAACTATACCTCAACTTCGTCGACTTTGAAAAGGCTTTTGACAGCGTCGACCGAGAAGTAATTTGGCAGGCAGTTGCTTCAACACTACGGAATACCACAAACCTTCATCAATCTCATTCAACAACTATATGAAGACGCCATATGCCAAGTAATTCACAATGGGAAGCTCAGTGATACTTTTGAAGTGAAGACAGGAGTAAAACAAGACAAAGCTGTCTACTACTACCCATGATATTCCTGATTGTAGTCGACTGGATCATGCAACAAACAGTAAGGAGCTGTGAGAAGAGTGGGATACACTGGACCACGGAAAAGAACCTAGAAGATTTAGATTTCACCGATGACTTATGTTTAATGTCACACAAACTAGAAGATCTACAGGCGAAAACTAACAAGTTGACAGAAGAGGCTGGGCAGCGAAGACGGGACTTCAAGTGAACGTAGAGAAGACAGTCGTGATGAAGATACTCAACCAACAACTGCAACAACATCAACTTAAAGGAAGCAGCTTTTTCACCTATCTAGGCCACACTGTTTCAACTACAGGCGACGGCACAGACGAAAACGTCAGAGCCAGGAAAAGCAAGACAGGCGTTCATTAGCCTGAAACCAGTGTGGAGATCTGCACTCCACTCAGCATAAAGAACAAGATCTGGATTTTCAACACCAACATCAAATCAGTGCTCCTGTATGGCTCAGAGACTTGGCGTGTCATGAAAGGCATTTCCAACAAACTACAGACATTCATCAACAACTGTCTACGCTGGCTCGTTACTGAAGCTTAGATGGCCAGAAAGAATAAGCCACAAGGAACTCTGGCTAGCTGGCAACGAACCAACCAAGAGGCTATAGCTAAAAAATATGCAGAAGGAGTTGGAGATGGATTGGACATACACTGAGAAATCCGACTGGGAACATCACGCGTCAGGCCAGTCCCTTGAGTGGGACCCAGATGGGAAGCGACGAGTTGGGCGTCCGAGGCGAGGGTGACATGGAGGAGATCGTGCGAGGAAGAAATGAGAGCTTATGGGCTGTCGTGGAGCCAGGTTGAAAAGATTTCAGAGAAGAGAGTGGAATGGAGACGTGCTACTCAAGCCCTATGTTCCATTAGGAACCCAAAGGACAAATTATAATATAATGATAATTCATTAGTCTTTAACATGAGAAATGTATTTCCACTTTATTCATCGATGTCTACGATGACTTTTAATTTTAGTTGTAACCAACCACTGTTCATATTCTAATAAAACAATGAACAGCAGCCGACTTTTTCAGGGACTAAAATATATATTAAATATCGAAACAAATATTCACCTCCTGTCACATAGACCAGTTCTAGTTGTAGCAGGCGCATATTGTAAATTT